TCTGATCAAAGTGATATTGGGGAAGAATGTAAAAGAAATAGAATGAGAGTGTGGAATATAGAGTTGGGGGAATAATCTGCAGCTGTTACTTCTCAAAAGACCTTCAAGAACAGGGTTTCGAACCAATGCTTGATTGGTAGATATGTTGGACAAAATCTCAAAGGATGGCGATAACCTTTCAGTATCCAGGTGAATTAATGGTTTCGGAATAGTATTGCACTGAACCGTGACCAACCCACATTCGGGTTGCGAAAAATCAGCCAGAGGAAATTCCAAATTGCCAAGATGTCCACACTGGAAACTTTTTGGGCATTTAGAGTACACAAAGTTGAGGAAAAATACAGGAAGAAACACAGAGAAATGAACAAAAAAACTGGCAGCATCCCCAGAGAGCTCTCTTGAAGAAATCATGATTAACGACAGAAGAAAAGACGAAGAAGAAAAAGATGTGGAGGAGGAGGAGGAGGAGGAGGAGAGAAATAAAATTCTCTAGCTCTATCTCAATTATATTTGAAAGTTATTTGCATCATCAAAGTGGAACACGGCAGTTTACTTGGAATTTTTTTAGTCAAGAATAATAGAAGGTACGTAAGGTCCTAAACCAATAACGCTGAAAGTTTCCAATATTCCTGACCTGCGAATCAGAAACTTCAAGGCCTCTCTCTTCTTGTAATTAATATAAATTGAAATCAAGTCAATCTCATCTCATTGACTTTCTGTTATTTTTTATTTATTTCTAAATGCGAAAAAAGGGAAATAAAAAGTGATAAGATTTCCAAGATCCATACCGCTTCAGTTGTCACTTCAGCAAAATTTTGAAAAGGAATTTACCAGGAAACATCAATTTGTTGAATTATCAATTGCTACTGTTTTACTACTTACAATTATCGATTAGAATTTTAGGATCAGTGCCCAAGAACACGGAATTGTTATCATGTTGTATCTCACTCTAAAGATTATATATTTGGCAAAAGAAGTGATTTTAATTATTGTTGTTATTTCTTTTTCGAGAAAAATAGCCCTCGGAGCCGCTAACCTTTGCACGAATTAGCGCATGGGTCACAGTTGCCAAGATAACTACAAAGATGAACAAGCTCAATATCCACTGCCACTCGTCTAAAGAGCCTTCATTATTATCGAAGTCAACACAAATGGAGATTTCACATTTTTCAAGCTGTATCTAAGCATGTTATTGCTCAATACTCATTAAAAATGAGAGTTTTGACACAATTACTATTGTAATTGAAAAGGTCCACAAAACAAGATATTAAAACAAGATTCCACCAAACATCAATCGATCAGAAAATAAACTTGCAAAAAATTAGGGGCCATTCTCTGTGGCCGTTTTGGGTCGTTTTTTATTTTCGATTTTCCAAACAATGAAAACGTGTTTTCTTTCTTATTTTTGAAAACACGTTTTTGAAAACGATAAAAAATTTGTACACAAAACGATAAAAACATCGTTTTGACCGTTTTCAATCAAAAACAGGGAAAAGAAGCAAAACATAGGAAATGACCATTTTCAATACAGTAACACCTCGACTACCACAATTTTAATTTCTTCCATCTTCTTCCAATCCATCCCCTCTCTTCCTTCCCTTTGGATGCCGGTTCTCTCTTGTCGACGCCCATGAAGGAGATGCGCTGGTACCGGAGCTGGCGTGGGGAGGCGACTCTTCCATAAACTCAGTGTCACGACCCATTCTTTGCAATGCTACTGTGGTTTGACCCGTCTCTGCCTACTCTCTCTTCAAGGTTGACGACCCATTGGCATCGTTCGAGGCAGGACGAAGGTAAAGTTCTCTCTCTTTTTGATTTGCAAGTTTGGGGATTTTTGGTTTTCTACTGTGGTTGTGTTGATTGGTTTCAACCCATTGATTTCGATTGTGTTGATTAGAAATTGTAGTGGTGGTTGTGTTGGCAGTGGTGACTGGTGGTGGCAATGGTAGGCAATGGTGGTGGTGACAGCGGTGGTGATTGGTTGATTACAGTGGTGGTGAGGTTGGGTTTAACAATGTTTGGTTGATTTCATTGTTTTTCTTGAAATTTCTTGAAGGTTCTTTAGGGGTGAATCTGGAACCAATAATTATAAGGGTGACAGAAAGGCGAGACTATAATTTAGGATATATTGGACTACTATTGTCGAGAAAGACGAGGAGAATAAAAATGATGATGAGGATAAACCTGTGAACAAATGTGTGCTCGTCTGGCAGGGGAGTGTTGCTAGACCAAGTTTTAATAGATTTTTCATCCAAGACTGCAGAACTGAAGTTGCTGCAAACAAAATCTTTTCAGATCACAAGGTTGCTCATTATTCGGATCTTGCCATTAATTTCACAAATGACCAAGTTTGATTTGAGAGTTCATGTTGAAACTACATGTTTACATGAATGGATAACGGAAATTTCTAGTTTTTGCAGTACATTTTTGTTGTCATTCATAACCATTTAGTACTGGTTGAGAGTTCAAATCAAGATACACTTGCTTCAACTGCCATGATAAACAACCAAACGTTGTATCTTGTAGATTATATTGCATGTACTCTTTTCTTTGTTTTCCTTGTCCCCTAAATGTTGCTAAATTTTTATGATATATGATTTTGTTTTGGTACTTCTAATTGGAATTTGATACTTGTGTTGCCACTTAGTTATCCTAAGCCTCCATTCAGTTTCTAATTGTCATAATGCCATTCAGCTCCTATGTTTCAAACTGTTTATGAAATTTTGACTGCCAAACTCTTCTATTTAAAAGTATATGCCCTTTGAATAATTGCATGACTTAGGGTGTCATGTTATCCAATTTTATTTTTTAAACTAAGGTGCAATGGAACTGATCAAGGTTTGAACTTTGTACGTTAAGGTGAAGGCACAGCACCTCAATTACTCTGCTAACAAGCTTGTATTTGAAATTTTTAACTAGAAAAAAACGATTGAAAACTATAATCCTGACCGAGATGGGGAATTTGCCAAAATGACTATACTCATACGTTTTTAAGCATTCAAATGGTTATAAAA